CTCTCTCTCTCTCTCTCTCTCTCTCCGTCTCTCTCCCTCTCTCTCTTTTCTCTCTCCCCACTCCCTGCCCCCTTCCTTTTCCGCCCTCCTTCACTCCCTCCCTCCCTCCCTCCCTCCTTCTCCACCACTCCTCCCCTGATATGGGTGTTTTGTAGGCGCTCCGGTGTAGTCTGCTCTGTAGGTGGTTCCCGGGTGAGTGTGGTTCGCTCCGTCTTTCCTATCAAACATCTATCGTCCTTATCTCTCTCTCTCTCTCTCTCTCTCTCTCTCTCTCTCTCTCTCTCTCTCTCTCTCTCTCTCTCTCTCTCTCTCTCTCTCTCTCTCTTGTAATTGTCCTGTTGCACCTCTATTCTTCCTCACTTATATGATCTACTTATTGTGTTGCAAGTGCCGTAAAACACTCACTGTTACATGTAGTCCGCCCCTCTTCTTCTTTTCTGTGAGTGGTTGGCGGGTGCTCTGGTTGGTTTGTTTCTTCTTTCCTATCAAAAATCGATCGTCCTTATCTCACCTTCTTCTTTCTTATGTTTGTTACTCTCTTGTAACACCTCTAATCTTCTGGCGCTCATATGACCTTATGCAGTTGCGAGCGCCGTAAAACTTCTACTAAACTAAACTTCTTTTCAATGCTACTACTATTACATTATTATATTTCCCTTAGATCTACTTGTTCCTGTCGAAATAAGACCCTTGTCGTGCTGGATAAACTCCCCACGTTTGCTGTAAAAATTCTGTGCTATCTGATTTGTTCTGACCTTATTGCCTCGGTGTAATGTACAAAATATACGGTTGTATGCGCAGCCTTGACCTGGTTTTAATTTCTCGGTACAGTAAACAGCGTCGGGTGTATTTCATCCTCGAACATCAGACCTATCTTGCTCAGATAAAAATGTAATCTTTGTTTCTATTCAAATCCGCAAACCTCGTAGGGTTATATACATGTATTTGATTTGGTAACGTCCATGTAGCTCTCTGAATGATACGTATGTGTTGGTATGATATTTAATTTGACTTTCACACACACACACACACACATACACACACACACACACACACACACAAACACACACACACAAGAGTGGGTGGTTGGTGGATGTTCTGGTGTAGTTTGCTTCTTCTTTCCTATCAAACATCTATCGTCTTTATCTCCCCTCCTCTTTTTTGTGTTTGTTACTTTCTTGTTGCACCTCTAACCATCGGCACATACACGACCCTATTGTGATGCAAGAGTGCCGTAAAATTCTTACTAAAACTAAAACTCTCTTCATTACATGTATCCATTACATAACCAATGTCTACTTAAAAATGCGCTGTGTAACCATTACCATGTTGCAAGGAAATTGAGCACGTCTAAATTTGTTTGTCTGTTCTGAAAAGCAGGTTCAAACGGTTTAATTTAACACTTTTTTTGCGACAAAGGCTAGATCTGTAACCACGACTCACTGTAATGTCCGCTGTTATTTTCAACAACTCGCCATCATTTCATGCATGACGTCAGCTTCTTATAATATCTGTTTCGTAATCGAATCACTTTGTAGTTTCTTGCCAGACTGACTTTTTATATGTAACGTGATTCATTTGTTATGTTGAATTGTTTACCCTTCGCCCATTAGCGTGAACGTATTCGATTATAGTGCAAAATGTTGTTTTCAGTCTTTGTGTGTGGGTGGTTGGCGGGTGCTCTGGTGTGGTATGCTTCCTCTTTCCTATGAAACATCTATCGTCCTTATCTCTCCTCCTTCTTTTTTGTGTATGTTATTCTCTTGTAACTCA